GGGGGGAGGAAAGGGGGGTAGAACAGGGAAGGGAGAGGGAAAGGGGAAAACGAGGGGGAGGAAGTGTGGGAAGCTGGAGCGGTTTGAATTGTGTTTTCCCCCAAATATATGTCCAAGCCCTAAACCCTGGCACCTGTGCATGCGACCTTATTGGACACAGCATCTTTGTGGATTTAATTAAAGATCTTGAGATGAGGTCCTTCTGATTTAGGGTGAGCCTTGAATCCAGTGACCGGTTGGGTCCTGAGAGAACGGGACCTGCGATTTGACCCCGGACCCAGAGGCCAAGGCCAGGTGAGATGGGGTGCAGAGTGGAGTGAAACCTCTGTAAGCCAAGCAGCCAAGGGATGCCGGAGCCTTCAGAGGCTGGACAGGGGCCTGGGCCAGACTTTCCCTCAGGGCCTCTGGAAGGAACACCCCCTCCAATACCTTGGCTTTGGACTTCTGGCCTCCAGAACTGTAAGACAACACATTTCTGTTGTTTAAAGCCACTCGGTTTGTGGTAATTTGTTATAACAGCCACAGGAAACTGACCAGAGGGGGAGGAAGAGAGAAACCAGAGAAGGAGAGAGAAGGGGGTGGGGCAGGGGGGTCTAAAGCTAAAGGTTTGGGGGCATTTAAAGAGCAGGGAGGATTACTTGGGGTGGCGAACACACAACATACTGATCATGTCCTATAGAATTGTACACTTCAAACCTATATAATTTTATTAACCAATGTCAACCCAATAAATTCAATTAAAAAAAAGAAATTATGCCTGGGGTGGAGGGTACAACATGGGTGAAGGGAATAAAAAGTTTACTTTATAAACTTTCAGTTATTAAATACATAAGTCCTGGGGATGTTGTGTACAGCATGGTGACTATAGTTAATAATACAGCGTTGCATATTTGAAAGTCACTAAGAGTAAATCTTTAAAGTTCTTATCACAAAAAAAGAAAAAATTTGCAACTATGCATGGTGACGAATGTCTATTATTGTGGTGATTATTTCACCATGTACATAAGTATTGAATCATTATGTTCTACACCTGAAACTAATATAATTGTATGCCAATTATGCCTCAAAAAAAAAAAAAAAAAAAGGAAAAAAGAGAGCAGGAAGGATTGGAAGTCGGAGAGAAGCTCCATGTGCCTGGAGGGTAGAGAGTGAAGGGCAGGGTGGGTGTGGTGGGAGCTGAACTGAGGGCCAGCAGGGCCAGTCTGTGAAGGACTCTGAATGTCACACCAACGGGCCAGGGGTTGGTAAACTATAGTCAGAAGACCACACTGGTTCACCCACTGAGGTGGTCTCTTCCTTGCCCATCTCTGCACCCGTCCCACTGATGACCCTCTGTCAGGAGACTGTGACTCCCAGGGTTAAATTCTAGTGCTAATTACTCATGTAGTTTTTGCAGCTGATTGGTCTTCTCTTCTTGGTTTGTCATCTATAAGGTGGGGGCTCACACATGGGACAATTTGACGGAAGGATGGTCATGGGAGGGCCGTGAGAGCCAGGGGCACTGTCTAACGTCACCGCTGCTGTTTCGGCGACCACTCACTGGGGCTTTAGCAGGGCAGCTGACGTGGACATGCCAGTGTCTATAGGGGAAGTTTAGAATGAGTGGCCACCTCTCTTTTTGCCATCAGCCATTTGTCAGGCTAGGAGAAGGGAGATCCTCTGGTAGGGAGATCAGATCTCTGTCTCTTTCTCTCTCTTGCTCTCTCCCTCTCTCTCTCGGGCAGAGAAGACAGTCATGGATTTTATGAAAATGCAGCAGGAGTGACTGAGGTTAGACCCCAGAAGAATCATTGCTGTGAATGCTCATGCAATCCACTGGAAGATGTTAATGAACTTCTGAAAATGAAACTGGGAATCCTTTCCCATTAATAAGCTCAGCTGCAGGGAAACCTGCCACCTCCCTGAGAAGGAGTGGCCCTCCAGGGTCTTCTCCTGCAGCTGAGGACAAGCCCTTCTTGGGAGGCTTGCTGCGGGGGGCTGTGGGGCTGTGTGCGGTAGATGACATCATGGGCTCCCCTGAGCTTCCTTTCCAGCCTTTCCTTGGATTAAGGGGTGGGAAGAGGGAGAGAACTGGGAACCTCGTGTGAGAACTCTGGGCTCGTCAGCTCCCAGACATCACCTCGGTTTCCCCTTCTTCCACTCAGCTGTTTCACAGAGGCTAGAGCTCAGGCCCAAGTTGGAAAGGGACTTTCTTGAGGTCACAGAGGCCAGGGTAGAACTAAGATGGACATCACAAATTCTTGACTCTTAGAGGGGAGCCCGTGTCCACCTTAGTGCCCTTCCCCTAAGTCAGCTGTCAGGGAGGGGTCTGAGATCTGGCCATTGTTATTCAGGGACATGCCCTGCGTGGGACACAGACCTGGGGGGCAGGGGGATGATCAGGGTGGACCGATCCGGGCAGAGCTTCAGCCACCTGAAGCGGCACAGGCGGGCTCTGCTTGCTAATGTGCCAACTGAGCGGTGTTGAGGGCAGACAGAGCAGGCCCTGACCTCGGGCCTTCTGCTTACCGGCTGGGCAACCTGGGATCACCATCCACCTCTCTTCGTTCACAGATGAGTTTCCACATCTGTCAGGTTCTGATGATTATGAAGCTAAAGAGGAGGCCCACACAGCCTCTGGGACAGTGCCCACCCCGTCGTAAATAAGTAATCGGTAGCAGCATTCTCGGCGGGGGCCTGGTTACAGGAAC